CATTCGCTCAGCCACACCAGTAAATGATTAGGAACCGCCTTAAAGACTTTGTAAATTACCAGACTGCAACTAACAATTTTCTTTTATTCATCTCTTATTCTGCCAATTCTTTTCTCAGTTAAAGACATAATATGTAACTTTATGTCTAAATTGACCAGACCTCCATTTTTATCTATATATTTTAACTGGATGAAAGATTTTAGTCATTGGACGTTTAGATTTTCTGTTATCAGAGTTTTAATCACGGGGTCAGTTTATTTTGGAGAGGAGACCTCTGCAGATAATTCAGCTTCCGGTAAAAACCTCCTGAATGATGACCATTGAAGGAAAACTAACCGGCAGAAGCTGAATGCAATTAAAGCAATGGTTGTGAAGACAACTCCCACAATCCCATGCTGCTTCACGACTTCATCAAACTACGTCTTTTGTTATTGCTTTGAGGTGAGAGACCTTAGCATCAGTAAATTACATATTTGTGTTGATTGAGATTGTTTTCTCCAGAAAAAGGTGAGAAATTATGAAAGACATCAGGAATTCCTAAAGAGTCTTCAGTTGTGTCCAACCGTCCAAACCCCAAAGAGAATAATTTTATTATCATAGATTAAATACAGCAAAAAAAATAGTAAATATTGTTTGAGCGGCTCGAACAAGCACATGTTAGCATTTTTGCTAAATTACTCACACAATGAATCAGTTATTTAAATAGTTGCAGTTGAATTTCTTGTTTGTTGGTTTGTCAATCAAATAATTGACTTTTTGTTTCAGCTTGCTGTACAGTGTCTGCTGTAATATCCAGTCTAATTTAAAATTCTGTTTGTCCACTGCCCCCTCCATTAAATCAGAGATGATTCAAAGAGAGAGAGATTGTAATCAGAGAAAAAAAACAATAAACACTTTTTTCAAAATACTCATATCCAAGACAGTGCCACCTGAAAGCTGTTGGAATACAGGTGTGGCCCGTTGTGTAACGTTGGAGCGAAGGGTTAGTCAGAAATATCATTGTAACACTGCAGCATCATATAAATTCACAATTTCGATGATGCTGCACAATACATTGCATGCTTCTTTCCAAACCAAATGGTCTCTGGGATTCTTCTGTTACACACAACAATAACTGTCAAGATTTGTTTTCATTTCCGTTTAGTTCTTCCTGTGTCGTTGCTTGAGTTATTGTCGTAGATGAACTTTAGTCGTTTGAGCCGGGGGTCTCATGTGTTTTCCTGGACAGCTGTTTCCATGGCAGACCTCTCAAGCTTTTTATCTCTACGTCAAGCTCACTTAGGCACCTAATCTGCACTAATACTCTCCGAATTAAAAGGGGGGGAGGGGGGTAAAACTGAGTGTTGCATTTACTGGAAAGTCATAGTACTAAATGAATCACCTGGAATAATTTGTTATCATCTATCACATCAGCTTTGGATTCTATTTCACACACCATATTCTGATAGTCTGGACTCTTGGCATACTTGGCCCAGTTAGATTTGCAATAAGTTACACAAGTACATACAGCACACTAAACATCACATACACAAGTATTGGCAGGAACAGTAAACAGCATATTTATAGCATTAAGCACATGGATGAATAAAATTACCTGACATGGACTGTTATTGAAGAACAGGTATTCAGAAGACGGTTTACATTTCATTATCACAAGAATCTAGCATCTAGAATCTAACAGTATAAGCAGCTCTCAGAAACTGTGGGAATTAAATAGCATTCCTCCTCTGTGTACAGCTTTTAATTCTGCCAGAAGTGTGTGGGCTTTTCTGCATGAAGCAGTGTGGAGAGGGAGTCAAACAGGTGACAGGCTTTGACTGGATTGGCGCTGTTTCAACTGTCACATTTCTGAAAATGAGTGCAGATTCTCATCCTCAGCAATTCTTTGTTAAAGGTCTTAGTTAGAAAACAGTACTTGTGTAGGTTGTCAAGAACTTTTTTTCAGTGCTCTGGGGCTAAACTTATTATTATTATAAATAATGTCCTGAGATGCAAAGCCAGATCAAATATTTCGATTTTTTTTAAATTAACGTTAGCAGTAAGTTGCAAATAAGAAGAAAATCAGTTTCATTGTTGTCCTAAATTGTTGTACTGTTGAGCTATATTTCTCTCTAGGTAGCTTCAAATAATAATGTAATAGTTTATTGTTGTAACTTGTAACCCCCTGGAGATCCCAGCAGCACCCTGGTTGGGTTTCAGGGTTTTGCTCCTGGACTCTTCAGCGGGGAAGATGTTTGTGTAGGCTGCTTAGAACCAAGTTTCTTAATTGACTTTTCTTCATAGTTTAGGTAACCTTGATAGAAAGAATGTTGCCTTTCCGCTTTCATGTAGAATCGATCACATTGGCCTGTGAAAATGATTTTATATGTTCATACCCACATTGTATCTGATCCATGAATAACAATAAAAAGTCCCAGCATGAGCTCCAAACTTTGAACAATCCAGACTTCCTCAGGGCGGAGCTCTTATTGTCAAACGTAGGTGTGACCTACTTTTGACCTGCATGCGTGTTATTACACGGATAGTCAGCAGTGGCTACAAACAAGCTGTCGTCTTGTCATGATCTCCAGAAAGACCGTGGGCTAATCAGCTTACCCTGTCTGCTCTGGCAGGTGACCCTAGACACAGAAGCTATGTATCCAGATGACAGTTGGTGGAGGTCAGGTTATCCCCATTTTTTTTAAATTACAGGCCCATGAGCATTTCCACCACTAATTAGTAGCAGACTACGCCTGTGTACTGTGTGCATTCAGTGTCCCTGTGTTGCTTGTCTTATCTTCTTTGGGTTGTTTTTTTGTGTATCGATTGCATTTGACTCCGATTTTGGCTGATTCTGATTTTCCTTCTTTCTAAAAACTATAATTGACAGCGTAAACAAACATTTTTGTGTATTTTGTTTCCATTAATATTTCCTTTTCTGACTTGGATCCATTTAACTGTATGTTCATTAATAAACACTATTAAATAATTTAGCATTTTACTCACTCAGACATCTCAAAATATAAAACGCTCCAGGTCAAACTGAATGACAATGTAACTGTAAGGGGGAGGGCTATATTTGTCATTTTTATTTGAAAATATTTGGAAGAATACATTACCCTATTTCTAGTAGTATATACTATTTCTTATCTCACCATTTAAATTCTAATTCTACACCTTATTTTAGTGTTTACTCAGACAACTACAACTTCAATAATTCTGCACACCTTGCTTTTCCCTTCAGACACACACACCTACACCTCTCTCTCCCTGTATCTGTCTGCTCTGGTGACTTTATTTGACAGCACCAACTGGTGTTTATATTTTTTGTCACCCATGATTTAATTAGCGACTGTACACTGAAAGCTGTGTTCACTGTGTCTTTGCCTGCTCCGTGCTTGTAAAATATCCACCGTGTCCGCTTCTTCTACCGTAGCCTAATACAAGATAGCGTCTCTGTGTGTTTCTCTGCAGGTGTACATTGCAAACGTTGTGTGTTCTTCACTCCCAGTGAAGAACTTCCTCGCCTGCGACATGTTTTAGCGTGTGTGTGTGTGTGTGTGTGTGTGTGTATATATGTGTGTAGCTGTGACACTATCCGATTATTGTCTTACGCCGTCAAGTGCAGCACACGTGTAATGTTAGTGTGACCAGCACACATTTGGCGCTGCTTGGCGGCGATTAATCATCACCGATTAAGCTGAAAACCGGTCCCCAGCCGGTTGATTGGTGCATCCATAGTTTTTTGTCTCTGTCATCATTTTGCATCTGTTGTCATTTGCGGTCGTTTGTTTGTTGTTTGTGGTCATTTCGCATCTCTTTGGAATCACTTTGTCTCTTTGCAGCCATTTTAGTAGTTTTTTGTCTCTGTGGTCCTTTTGCCTTCCTTTTTGGTTGTTTTCTGCTCTGTAGTTGTTTGACTTTCCAAAAAGAAATTGTAACTTCACACAGAGGTTCTGGTCCAAGGGCCCTGGGCCCCTATGCAGTAATAAGCCAACTACTATTGGGGGGGGGTGGGGGTTGTCTCCAAAGTTTGACTACTGAAACAAATATGCGTTAGTCAATTAATCATAATCCAGGTCAGCTTGATGTTATAATCCATTTCTATACAATAGACCACTCAGTTGTGTCATTGCTTGAGTGGCCTGTATACTGTAAATTAAATGCACTAAATGCTGAGGTGTATGTTTAGCAAATAAAATCGATGACAGGAGGTATAAATCATGTTACAATTCACTTTTTCTATTTTAAGATTCAGAGGTTAGCAGCAAGAGAGGTTCCACAAATGGAGATTAGGCATTCCATAGATTTTCAGTGACAGTACAATCTGCACAAGTGACCCTGCATCCAAGAGCCAGACCATCCTTTAATGTCTCTGCAAGGGTTCATGAGTGTGTTCCTCAGTTAACATTCATGTGGAAGTGACTTTGTGCGGATTTGTTTGTGGACATAGGCTGTCAGGATGATTCAGCAGTGCCCCCTCCCAAGGCCCTAGCCCTCCACCACATACCAACACAGATCTTTCGGGGGTGCTTTTGCACCATTAGTCCCACATGGGAAACAGCATCAGGCTCAGAGAGAGAGTAAGACAGAGAGAGAGAGAGAGAGAGAGAGAAGGGCTCGCCAGGCGGTTGAACTCCTGGCATGGTGAGCCTGCCCTGAAAAGGGCACATGCCTCCCTGCGCAATTATCCACTGTGCATAGAAACAGCACCCCCACCCTCAATACACACACACACAATGGTTTGACCAACACAACTAAAAATGGAAGATGGAGCACCAGGATGTTAAAATCATCACAGTGATGTGGAATTGACATTGAGCTTCACTTTAATTGTGTTTGTGAAATTGAAAATGAGTGAAGGTGTTACAAACATCCCCAAGGAGAGTGTTAAAATAAGCCCAGCACATCAGTAGATGTCAGCTGGTATTGTGCATATAGCATGAGATCATCCCTGTATCATGAAAATTCATGCTCTGGAGCGTCTCATGTTGTATTGCCTCTTCTCTCTTGTTTTGCAGGCTACTTCAACACACTAGCAGTGGTCCTGAAAACAAGTAACGAATCCCCGTGGACTGATGAGTTTGACAGTAAGAGCTTGTGAAGAAATACCACCACTAAAAACTAACAGATTGTTTATTTCACATCAGTCTTGAATGACTCCCCTGTCATATCACTCCATTTTTCTCTATCCTGCAGAAATTGAGTTATCATGCATAATTGAGTCCATTACTACAACCAATCCCAGAATTGAATGGAAGAAGATAACAACCGAGGGACCAAGTTATGTGTACTTTGACAAGAAGATCTCAGGTACAATTGGGCAAAAAAAGTCAAATTTCAGTCTCTTCTAGTTTCTACAGTTTCTACATTTGTTACTGACATTTTTTTTCCTTCGACAGGTGACCTGGAGAACAGAGCGATGATCAGAGAACCTGCCACATTACTGATAACCAACGCCACAAGATCGGACACAGCGAAATACCGTTGCGAGGTCACTGCCGCTGATGACCACAAGTCATTTGATGAGATTGTGATTGACCTTGTTGTAAGAGGTACTTACCTGCATCATTTATTAATCAGTGTGTTTTAGGCCATGTGAGACAGACATATGAAAATATGACAAAGATTCTTCTAAATGGAGAAAACAAGTCATTATAATGCCCTTAAAGAGAGACCTTGCTCAGTGATTCACACTTTAGATGCTGTAAGATGAAACCGTGTTGTAGGTCGCACCATCCCCTTGGCATACATACGAGGATGTGTTATGACCAGACCTGCCCAGCTGCAAAGGCGTGTTCTGGGCTATAAGAGGAAACCTCTGAAACTGCATCTGCTCTGAATTGCAGTGCTAAAGAAAGCAAGCACTGCATGTTTTGGTGGCGTTTTTTGGCACAGGCCAAAAATCATGTACCCGTCCGGTCCTGTCAATGCTGTCAGGCCAGTGAACCATAAGGGGTCAGGGTGACATTGTTTTTTTAAAAGCATCAAAGTCAAACATAGACCCAGCAGCATCATGAAAGAATGTGTCAGTTTGTTCATCACTGTGATGCTTGCAGAACATAAAAAACTCAGCTGAAGTAGAAAGACTTCGTGTAGTGACCAGTGGGAGTATCAGAGCCTTTAAGTACAAGTATAGAAGTATTATTAGTAAAATGTACTTAAAGTATCAGAAGTATTCATTGTGCAGAAATGGGCTCTGCATCAGTGTTTTACTATAAGAATGTTTCTGCAATAATATTACTGCTACATTAATGTGTGTTGCATTTTACTGCTGTAGATGTTGAAGGTTGAGCAGATTTTAACTACTATATCCTGATGGGTAGTTTAATCTACAGCAATGCATCGTATTCTATAAGATCATCATATGTCTGTAGAGAACCACCTACGTCTCAAAAGTTCATTTTTCGTTTGCCTCTGAGATGTAGTGGAGTACTTGAGTTAATGTAGTTATATTCCACCACTGATACTATGGTATGATGGTAACTCTGGTCATGTGTTTTCTGTCACCACAGTAAAGCCGGTGGTGCCAAAATGCAGTGTCCCAAAATCAGTGCCTTTTGGGAAGTCAGCTGAGCTGAGCTGTGTGGAGGAGGAGGGCTTCCCCAAGTCTCAGTACCAGTGGTTCAAGAACAGGGAGGAGATCCCCAACGACCCTAAGACCAGCCTCAAGTTCTTCAACTCCACATACACGCTCAACGCAGAAACAGGAACTCTGGTTAGTATGCTTGCGCATGTGTTTGTACAAGGACACGCATGAGCGGCAAGGGCGGGGCAGCGAGGACGGTGGCCTGACGCCCAGGGGTGGGGGCAGATATTTTGGGGAGACAGTTGATGGTGCGAGAGGGCTCGAGCCACGAGGGGAATCTGCTGTCCTCGTTTGCACATTCCTCAATTCTCGCTTGCTGTCCAGCACGGCTCGATGTGCTCAGCGCCTCGCCTCCAACACTCTGCTATCAAGCTTCACGCTGGCCTCTAAGATGTGACACACCAGAGCACGCTACACAGTTAGTCTTTATGTGAAGCTGAAATGGAACAAACGATTTAAGTCTACAGTCAGAAACTAATGACGTTTGGAGGATGTTTTTTCCCACAATTATCGCTCCCATGTGAGGAAATAATGCCCACCAGCCGATGTAGAGAGTGGAATTTGTGAAATGTATTATTATTTTGTTTTTCTGCAGTTGTACAGTATTTAAATATCTTTAAGCTTAAACATAAATAAAAAAAAAAAATTCACATACATAAGTGTATACACATAACAAAGGGGGGGGGGGGGGATAACTAAAAGGAAACATACAATACCAAGTTGTTACCTAAAAATAAATAACAACAATAATACATGTAAATATTTTAGAAATCTTCTTTTAAACCTCAAGTTAAACTTCTCTGTACATCTATCACCAACAAAGTAGTTTTGAAAAGGCTAATGTAATGTAGCAAGCTTCTCTGGTATGTCGCCTTAAAGACTGACAGCACTGTTGCGTTTAGTAGTATATGTACTTCTTCTCTTCCTTCACTGAATCCCAGAGGATTTAATGTGATATCGGCAAAGAACACCTCTGGCCGCTGAGTTCACTCTTTAATCAGAAACAGACAGCAAGGAAATCCAGTTCTGTTTAACGGTCATATTTAACATCCCCTGATTTGGTAATGACATTTTGTCTCCCATCATAAAGAATGTAAATATGGTGTGAAGGTCAGTCCTCTACACACAGTAACTGCCAGGACTATTATTTCCCTTCGTGCTGACTGTATCCACATCTGCGACTTTATACTGACTTTATTTAACATCAATATATCAGTCCATACAGATCATAATAGAATTGATCAATTGATCTTCTATAATCAGCTGTTGACTGAAGAAACGTTGACAGTATGAGCATTAGATTTGGACTTGCATTAATCACATTTACACATTTATGCATGTGACTTGTCCATTGCAGAAATTCAGCGCAGTCAGAAAAGAAGATGCAGGCGAGTACTTCTGCAGAGCGAAGAACGATGCAGGACACTCCGAGTGTCCAGCCCAGCAGATGGAAGTCTGTAAGTTTGTCACAGATACAAATACGCATCCTGTGTGGTGATGAAAAAAATCATCAGAGCTGATTTAAAGACACAATGAAGACTCCACTGTGTCACTCAGTCTTTAAAGGTCAGGTAAACTAAAAATGTCAGTGTTTAATTTCTCCATTCTTACTTCAACTCCACAGATGATATTGACGTTGTTGGGATTGTACTGGGAGTGCTGGTGGTGGTCGCAGTGCTGTTGTGTATAACAGTGGGGATCTGCTGTGCGTACAAGCGAGGCTTCTTCTCCAGCCAAAAACAGACGGGAAACAAGTAAGAGATCAAGACATCCTCTCATTCACGTGATCCACAAACACATGTTTTCCTCTCTAACCAGCACTGCTTTAACCTATCATCCATAACACCCTGATCTGCTTTGTGTCTTTCAGTTACAAAGTTCCAGCTAAAGGAGATGGGGTGGATTACGTCAGGACGGAGGACGAGGTTTGTATATAGCAGTTAGGTCTATAGGCCTATAGAATTTACAAATGATGCTCTTAAAAGAGAATATAGATCATTTTGAAACTGCTGAAGGATCGTCCATTCAGCAGTAATACAAAGATTATAAATTATGGTTAATGGGCTTAAACTGGCAGAGCCACCTTTGTGCTCCTTTAATGAGCCACACCTGGTCTGCATCTACCAGACACCACAGGCCAGATGGATACATGATGTGTGCGCACCAAAACCATGCATACACCATTTCCCTGTATATGAAGTGGTATTTATAAAAGACAAATAATGACGGCAATTTTCCAAACTATCGTTATTTTATTACAAGGTACAAGGTTGTTTATTAGTCATTATACAGCACAAGGCTGCATAACGAAACAAAATGTGTAGTTCCTTCATGCTACACACAAAACATATAATTAAGTGTAGGCCTACATTAAAATATGGTAACATATAAAATAAAACAATATATACAGTTATTTATATACATATATACATACGCGTAAACACCCCGAACACTCTGAAGTGCATTTTTTGATTTTGCATCTGGGGTGAATGTAAAGAGCAGCAGCCAGATGATAATATGAAAGTTTCATCTTCACAATAAACAGTCTGACATTTGGAGTCCATCTTGACTGTGTTGAGTCCACTTCCTCTCATCTTGCCGGAGTCTTGCGCTGACAGCTCGGAGCGCGGACCACCTGCCGTGTGCTTGATCCGGGATGTTGATGGGGCAGGTCTCTGTAAGGATGTGGGCACAACAGTCTCTGAATTCAGTTGTCTGGTCAACATGAGTGCCATTTTGTCCAGACCAGTTCTTTAGGGGCAGAATTAAGTCCAAGCTGGGCCAGCATGGCTGCTCTCCTGCTCTCTTTCCTCTCCTCTGAGCGATCACTGGTCTGGTCCGGTTGTTTGTTTGTTGTTATTTTCCTTGTGTTTATATTCTTTTCATGTTATCCTTTATTGTGAAGCACTTTGTAGCCTGTTTAATATGAGCAGTCTAAACTAAATTGATTATCTTTCTCGATGTCTAAATAATAAAAAACCTGTTAGCCGCCGATGATGGTTAACGGGCACATGTGATGAATTAATGGTTGCTATAAATAACACAGTCAGGCATAATGACAGCAGCTCTGGCAGTGTTGGAAAACCTTGCTGATGGGGCACAGTCGGTAAAATTGCACTTCTTCTTTGAAGTTCTACCGAGTGGTCGAGCAGGCACTTTTTATCTGATGAAAAGAATGCATATCTGTAGATCTACACTGTGGTTTCTGAATGGGATGTGGCTCATCGCCTACTTTGGTACTTAGATTGTTTATATAATACGAGAAGTTAAACTATTGCTATTTCCTGTTTTGTAGAGCAGTAAACTGCCAAGTAAGAGTTGAGCTGTTAGAGAAAGCAACGGTCAATATGAGTGTAGAGTATTTTCATTAAAGAGTAGGAGGAAAATGGCAAAGAATATCTGTATTACTGTGGAACCACTTCTGCCATATGATGAATTATTAAATATTGCTTCTCTGTGTTCTCTGCAGGGGGATTTCCGACACAAGTCGTCATTTGTGATCTGAAATGGGAGAGGATGATGAGGGGCATTTTGCTGAGCGAAAGACGTGACACGCGGGACTGCTCTCCACGCTGTCTGACCACAGAGCTGCCCCAGTTCATGCTCTGAGCTCGGCTGAAACCCAACCACTCAAGTTTGCCAAAGGTGACAAGATTCCACAGGACAACAATATCTAAAACTATTACACATGTAGGGACTGTGATTCATTTGTCAACGTTTATCACCACCAACTGAATTCTTTTGCTAAATTAGGGAGTTTTTACTTTACAGTCGTTGCATGGTTTTAAACACCAGTCGAGGCGGAGAAAGCGGAAACATTTCTTTGCCCTGCCAGGTAGAAACGGCGGAGTCTCTTTCCTCCACCGCCAGCCGATCATGACATCTTTCTACTGTAAAACATTTAGCTTCAAGCCTTTTGTCATTTGTATAACATTTCTTTTCTACTGTTGAAATTTGTCGGACTATTTTTGATGGAATATATTTTAAAATGCCTATAGATAAAGGTTTACTTTTTTAAATATTTGTAAAATACTAACATGTGTTTTTTTTTTTTTTTTTTTGGTTGTGGATAAAAAAATATGGAACACTTTAACCACTTTGCATCAAGCTGTAAGCTTTTACACCTTTGCAATCGGAAGAAAGAAAGACAAATGAAAAATGACTTGTATTAGCATATCAAGATGTGGTTCTTGATCAGCGGTCTTACATATTTAATTTCTCCGCTGGGAATGCCCAGTTTCTGTTGTGAGAGACTTCCACGTTGATGTTTGTAGATAGTCTTTGTATAGAGGCTTTGAAGAGTGCCAGTCAAATGCTGTGAAACACTGTACACAATCAGTGCCGCATTTTCTTGATTTTTAAGTGTCCTTCTTTGCTTGCTGTTAATCTTGTATATATTGAATTTGCTGTCCAGGATAGAGTTTTGCTGTCGTACGTATGTTCAGTGTTACACTATAATAATACTAGTATAATACTTATTAGACAGGGTTTGTAAGTTAACCTTCCAGACCAAACAAAACTCCATGATAAGTTGTAATACTGTAGACATGGTGTAAAAGTCTCTATTCAGAATTTGGAATAGAAAGATCTGTTTGTTACTGTGAGTGACAGCTCAAACCTGTTATCAGGACTTTGTTATTTTAACTACTGAGTCACTTATTTTTAAGCTACAATTACAAAAGGTATCAACAACACTGGTGAAAAAGACCCAGCTGTATAGTACACACACAGAGTACTGCAGTCAGATCGACCAGAGTAATCACAATATACAATCTCTGACACGAATCCTGGTCCAATCTGTTTACAGACCTGTTTTTGCTAATACGTGTGTTGATTAGTACAGTAGACCTTATCTAACATTTCTAACCTTTAGTTGTGACTAAATGTTTTAGATGGAAAGAAAATCATGTTCGGTTCCACTGAAGCTCATATTGTACTCATTCCTCTCAGCTAAAGGCACACAGATCTGATTCTACACCCGAGTGTTACAGTAACATACAGCTGGGGTCTGGAGGGTTAACAGCTGTACTGATTGTATATAGATATTTCTTTTTTCCTCTCTCTCTCTCTCTCTCTCTCTCTCTCTCTCTCTCTCTCTCTCTCTCAAGAATATGTAAAGTGGTGAAAAATGTAAACATTTCCTATTTGAGGCGACATGAAACTCTTTCCATTTGTAAGACAGAGAAAAGGTAACATTTTGTCACGTCATTCATAACACATGAACAACAGCTTCCTAACAGCAGAAACAGCAAATTCAGTCATGATTCAATCCGTGTGTCAGTCTTAAAAATGCTGACCAGAAGATGAATGTTATGAATGTTTTTATCGGCAAGCCTGGTAAAATGTTACCTGAATATCAGTCATGGTAGAGACGATCTGCCCATCATTTGCACATAGGAAGTTGTCAACACTGCTCAGTCTTTTTCCAAGTTAACATGTTGCATTAAGGAACCAAGAGAAAACATTTCTAAGTGTGCTTAAGTTCACAAATGACTCCTGTTACAGGAATATCGTGTGGTGAGATACAAGTCACGCAGCTCACACAGATGCACACATTTCCCCTGCTCATTTGTACAAATTTCATTCCTCTTAAGTGCCTTCTGCCTTTAAAGTAGTCCAGTTTCTCTACAGCCATGCTCTCTCCCACTTTCTATGATACTCAATGGTCGGAGGCTTTGTGTTTTGCATTCATTTAACCACAAGCACGGCGTTTGAGAGGAATGATATCACCTCAAATTTCCCCCTTCTCCTTCTTTACATGCGTATCTGCAAATTTGTAAATAGCATTTTTCATAGATATGAAGGTGTAGACACGTTGAAGTAGAATAGAAATATATTAGTGCCTAAATATAGTGGGAATTATTTTTGGTAAACACACATAGCACTATTAGGCAAAAGAAAAAGATGGATACCCAAAGCAGGGACATTTTATAACACGTTCAAAAAGACCCATTCTCCTGGTTAACTGAGGTCTGTTTTCATTCATAACACTGACAGCCGGGGGAATTTGACCCACAACTGCTTTCAGAAATGAACCCAATGCTCAAACCAAGAGTTGACTCAGTATTCATGAAGGTGTCATGCAGCTGTAATGGAGCTGACATTGTTCAGGCAGTAGGAACCGTTTTGTTTTTTGTTTTTTTTAAAAATTGGAGTTCATGCAAAGCGTCAGCCTCAGACAACAAACAGGAATTCATATACAGCAGCTATACGTAGGCTTACAGCTAGCCCACAGGCAGTCCTGAACGTGTCTGTAGTCTGGTTAGATGTAAGGCAGCGCTGATAGAGATTATATTTACTTCGCAGTGAGCAATGGTTTCCACGGTGTGTTCAGCATTAGGGGAGAAAGTTAAACCAAGCTCACCACTGTGTTTCAACTCAAGGATGGCAGCGCTCCACTGATCCAGCACTGTAAAACTGTTACTGACTGAGGACTAGTACATCATGTAAGGAAACATGATTTTCTGAACCAAACTCACATACAGTAGAATGTCCATTTGGGGCCTGCTGGGGTTGTTTCTGTTCATTTTAGAACCACTCTATTTGTGATTAATAAAACTCACTTCTAATATTACTGGAGACATCTGTGTTTGCTTTTTGTGTGTGTGTGAGAGAAGTAAAGATTTTGCATCTGTGCTGTCAGTCTTGTCATTTCATAATTTCTCTGCTACTCCCAATCCTCCTCGACTACTCAAGAGTCTCCCGCTGTTCACAGAAATCCTATTCAGTATGAAAGTCCATCAAATATCCCACTGACAGCATCAAAAGCCGTAATCTATTAGTGGGAGTTAAGCCATTTCCACTTTCTGCGCTGAAAACAGCGTTCTTGTTCTTCTCTGGTACTGTGCCAACTGGCAGCCAGTTCCTGGATAGAGAGCATTAGAATCAATGAGGGAGCAGGGAGAATATATTGTAGTTTGCAGCAAGATCCAGTGGACAGCTTTATTTAATTCACAGAAAAATCTATTCAAGTGTGGGTCTCTAATTTGGTTCAATGTGGGATGAAAAAACACCTTTCTGGATCATCTCACATTGAGATTAAATTAAATGAAAATGAAATTTTTCAAACATTTAACACAGTGGCAGCTGACTCGTCGCTGTGCAGTCCTCCTTTGATGCTATAGTTGAGATAAAATGAGAGTTTCTCACAGTCCTGCTAGAAAGTCAGATGTGTAGTTAATTGTGCTGGTATGTACTGCCCGTAATGTACTATCACTCCTACATGCTTAATCAGTGTTAGTAAATTCAAGGTATCTTCTGATGATTTTTGATTGAAGGAAATTCAAACCACATCAATACAATCAGTGGCGTTTATCTGTACAAAGCAATTCAACAATGGCATCACAGAGACTTGTGACACTCTTCAGTTACTCTGCAACACACATTGGAGTGTTTCAGACTAAATAATCTGTTGTATCCTTATAGGGATAAAGTACCACCTGTACTTATTATTGTAATGTTTAAAAAGCCAGTGAAACCGCAGTTAAGTTACATCTGACTCAAACTGTTCATTCTGATGCAGGGTGATCTTTTTTTTTTTAAGGATTAGCAGGGAGCCCTTCGGAGTGGTAGGGAATCTCTGGAACACTGTTACATCGGCTGATTCAGATCATTCTTATGCTAATATCAATAGATGGCATAGTTACATTCCAGTTTCTCTGTTGATTTGGCTGAAGTGAACAAATACATAAAGACAACAGAAAATCGTACTTGAGAGAAAGATGGAGCCTATTTAGAAAATATCACAGCATGATGTGATGAACTGACACATTGACAAGATGTTTGTCTGTATCAGAGCAGGGCTACAGCTGCACCTCTCAACCGCACACGAATAATTGGTGTCAGCCATTTCAAGACAGCCAGAAGGGCTCTGCTTGTTCAGAGTAATCTGTCCAAACATGAGAAGGAGTTGCAGAATTTCAACATATGACACTCAGATGCCTCAGCAAGCTGTTGAGGGACAAATTTAGAATTTTTTTTTACCGTCTCAAAAATGAGTCATTGTTATGAAAGAATATTGTTAGGTCTTGGTTCATGCAATGTAAAAGCCCCAGGGGAGTCATTTAACTGTTGCCAAGTTTGATCATAAAACTGTTTGTAAAATGAGGGATCACAATATTTTTTTTCATAAGTCACCAGAACTAATTATGCAGTTAAAAGAAGCTGTTCCCAGAGGAGCCTCCTAATGAGCTAATGTGAGACACACACACACACACACTCGTAATAACTTGTTTCTTCCTCTATACACATATTTCCTATGACTACTGCTGTTGGCGTATAGTAGAATAACTGATGAAGCTCTTGCTTAGGCATATTTGGCTTAAAATGTGATACTGACCTGTGCACGGGTTGTCAAAGGAAACCTTTCTGAAGTTTAAGAGGCTTTTCCATCCTAACAGGAATTCAAATCTAGGACGAAAAAAGAAAACTAAAAGGCTTATAATAATAACAATAATAATAATAATAATAATAATAATAATAATAATAATAATAATATGTAAGGCTTATAAAATGATATATAGTAAGGAATTTGGCATGGTATGGTACAAAATATAAGGAATGCAAAAACCTTCTTCAGTGAAGTTGAGCTGAAGAGGGCACTGGGGTTGATCTGTCTCCTGTTGTTATTTAACTCTGCCCTCTAGTGGTGCAGCACTGCCGTCACAGACCTGTGTCCAAAATGGCTTTCTTTTTTCACCCACTGGAAAGACTGAAAGTTTGGGCTACAGCAGACGCAAGGAACATTTGAAATTCGCTGTTAAATGTTAATTCTGATACACAGATGCATTTATTATTAATGTGACGATTCCAGACACCAAATTGAGTTTAACATGAGCTTGATAGACCACATGAAAATTGACCTCTTGTGCAACATGGTGTTAAGTGTTGGAAGGTGTTTTGGCACATTCTTGAAGACATACCCAGTAACAAGAGTTTCAAATGAACGTTACAAAAAGACTGTCCTGATCCATTTGGCCCTATCATCATTTCATCATTATGAGTTTGGTTTTGGTTATAGATAAAATAAACAACATAAATAGAATATTTAGAACTTGTTCCATCATTGTCTCTGGTGTTTGCAAATTCCACCAACCTTTATTTAGATGGAGACAGACAGTCAATGTCTGACATGAAGAACTAAAACATGTAAATTATATGGGCAAACAATTGATAAAAACTGTTAAGAAATACAAGAGTTGAAAACGTTGTAGTGAAGCAAATATCAGTGAAGTAGAAGGTAAATATGAGTCAGCTCAAAATCCATACCTGGCCAATAAAAATATTCTGATAGCAAGATCTCCATATTCTATGAAGGACAGCTATGTAGCAGCCATTGTTTAGCCTTTGACGTTTAAAACTTGAGAAACATCTTTTTCATTTTTCAGGTCCCAAAATACATCACAGTAACAGGATAATTAAAGATTTCATTTATTATATATATTTTTACATAATTTTTTTCTTCTGCTTGTGGATACTTTCACTTCTCTTTATGCGCCTAAAAATCCATCAAATGAAAGAATCTGAGAAAGAATAACTCATATTAAAGCCACTGCACCAAGAATGTCCACATGAGGTCTATTGCCTATCGTGACATGGTTCAGAATATGAACGGCACGCCTGCCTGAAAGGCTGAACTCCGGGCAGCAAAGTCTCAGTGAAGCTTCATACGGCTTGTTGTTTCTTCAGCCTGTTGATACTGCGCCAAAAAAGTGCAGACATATTGTAAGGAGAAAAGATACTAGCATTTAAAATGATCACATTCAACCATATATTGTTGTGCTAGTCCACCACTGAGAGTGTAGTTTATATCAACAGGTAAAAGGAAAAGACAAAGACGAAAAGCCGTTTGATAAATACAGCTTTCCTTCACGACTGCCAACGCATGCGCAGTCAACCGGTTGTAACTCGGAGTATTCAATAATCTGGGAAGCTGTTTGCGTTGGACATCTCACAGCAAAACGCGAACAAACTAGTGTGCTTCTTTGGAGAACAGGGAGCAGGATCCAGTGACAGCTTGACTGACGAGCAGCCATGAGCTTCTTCGGTTTTGGTCAAAGTGCGGACATCGATATAGTTCTGAATGACGCCGAAACGAGAAAGAAAGCCGAGCATAAAAGCGAAGACGGCAGGAAGGACAAGTATTTCCTCTTCTACGACGGGGAAACGGTGTCGGGGAAAGTCAACGTTACGCTCAAGTACCCGGGAAAGAGGCTGGAGCACAACGGCATCAAGATTGAGTTTATCGGCCAGATAGGTGAGCGACTGGCGGGCCTGCGTTTCACACTGAGCCCGCCGACAGAAGTAGCCAAAGTATGACAGGAGATGTTAGGGAGCTAGCTACAGGCGAGGAATACGCCACTAAACACTCACACTGTGTGGTATTTCACATTTATCTTACTAAATAACATTTGAACCACTTCACACCGGCCAACCACAGACTACTGAACTGTCGTAACAAGTGTCAGGTCTCGTGACAAACGCGGGTGCAAGCTAACATCAGCTGACACATCAGCCATTGGCTAGCTGCGGTACTGACCTTCGACCCCTTCTTTTAATGTGGCGTTCTTTCAGATTAGAGCTGTGACTTTCAGACTGAGAAGTAGCTTGCCTATTGAAGTCCAGGGCTATCCTTACACACACTGCAATTAGCAGCAGGCTGCAGATAAAAGCTGCTGTTGTGCTGTTAGCAGACTGGAATATTTCAGATGATACAAACACACGTTTCTGCTGGATGATTCTCACAAAAGCAGCAGTAGTTGGGTGTGACAAAGTACATTTCCTGAAGTTGGTTTGTTTATTTTGATCCACATTAGCTACTGTAACAACAACAACAACAGTAGAAACTCTACCAGGGGGCCACATAATGTATTTACAGTACTTCAATCAAAAAGACCCTGTTCTTTTGAGATACTTGTAATTACTTGATACTTTTACTCCACTACATTTCTCTGACAGCTATAGTTACTAGTTATATTGCAAATTAAGATTCTACATACAAAACATTATGTGCTTATAAAATATAATTAATGGTTACATATCACACTGCCCAATACTTTATAAAGTAGGCTAGTTAATATTATCTCCACTTTGACCAGCTGCATCATGCTTTTACATGTTAATGCATTAGTAATAATAACCCAAAACAATATATTAAAAATGTAACATTGACAGATTTTGTACCATTCAGGTAAATAACGTGTACTATTGCTTTTAAAGTACATAAGACTTTTGTACTTTTTATATAAGTAAGATTTTGAATGCAGGACTTCCTGAGAATTGAGTATTTTTACATACTGTAGTTATTCCTGTCAAGGATCTGAATTCTTCTTTCACCAGTCACCAGAGTGTGCCCTTAAATCACAAGGTCAGCTGTGCAGGGTAGATTTATTTGTCTCATTACAACAAAAGGTTTTGGTGTGAAATTGAGTTTGTAACTCAATTAGAGTTTAAAAGTCTGATAGGTTGGTTGAAAATATACATGGTGAACTTTTACTTGTGTTAGAGCTATGTAAAATGATATATATAAATTAATGATGCACATTGACCAAAAACAGGAAAGAATACCATACTTAAATGTA